CGTGGCTTTCCCGGTGCTGAACGCGGCCCCCGCGCCCCGCAGCGCTCCCCTGCTCTTGCCCCTCCTGCGCCGAGTCCACGAGCCCGCCGGAGCCCGAGGGGGGGGGAGCTGCCTTTGCCCTTTACGGCCTTTGCCCTGGGGAGCGCGGGGGCGCGTCTGCACGCAGGAGTCGCCCCGCTGCTGTGGTTAAACCAGTTCCCCTCCCCGCTGACGCCCAGCCCTCGCGGATGTGGGCAGCGAGCAGCGCAGCGCAGCGCAGCGCTCTTCCTGCTGCCACTTCCCCGCGGGCCCTTTCTCTGCAGGTGTCGCGGGCGCGTCCCAAAGCCCAGGCCACAGGGCTGGCTCTGCTAATAGTTAACTGCACGCAGCCGTGGGAGGACGCGGCGCCCAGGTGGCAGCAGGAACCAGGAAGGGCCGGCGGGGAAAGGAGATGAACCCTGAGCTCGCGTGACCTTCCTCTGCCTCACCTGCTTACGGCGGGAGCGGCTTTGCCCTGATCGCCAGCCCGAGGCTGTGTCTGCCGCTCTGAGCTCCCTTCCCCCGGCACCTTGGGCCACGAGGGAGGCCCGGGGACCGGGCACTCGCAGCGAGGCCGCAGGGGGGGAGCAGGGCCCCGTGACGCGGCGGTCGAGCAGTCAGACAGATTATCCCTTTCTTCTGCCCGTCAGCAGCATCCGCAAGGAACAGGACAAGGGGCCGTTTGCTGTGGCCAGCTTGGGGCTGAGGGTGTCCAGGCTGGCAGCCGTCTCCCGGGCCCCCAAGGGGACGCTGAACAGTCAGATGCCAGGTGCCACAGCCAGCACTGCTGTACAGGGCACCGGCTAAACCACAGTGCAGGAGCTGCCTGGACAAAGAGCAGGAGCCTGCCTCTTCCAGGAGGGTAGAAGTCACAGGGCTCGCAAGCTGTGTCCTGGCAGCGTGTTCAGGGAGAGCGTCCAAGTGGGCTGTGGGACATCGTGGTCGGGAATCCTGGCCGTGTGCTCGCTGGGGGCCTGCCCAGGCCCGTGCTTCTCTCAGCCAGGGTGTAAAGGGCTCTCTGCCTCCCTCTCTCTGCAGCCCGTTTGTCTGATGCCGCATTGGAGGTGGCAGGTGCCACTATGGAGCGTGATGGAGGCCACACTGTGTATCCGCACGTGCCTTTGGCTGACTGCAGCCGCGATGCCCTTGCTGATGCCAAATGGACTTGCCCACAGTGCAGAACTCGAACCTGGAGCTGAGACCTGGGGGAAGGCCCGAGGCTCCGGCGAGCTCACCTGGGCAGTGAGCCTCAACGTGCCCGAGGGGGCCTCCTTGTCCGAGGAGGAGCTGGTGCGGCAGGCAGATGACCTGGCCAGGACCGCCGGCCTGGTGAATGTGGGCCGTGTCGGGGAACTGCGGGGCCATTACCTCTTTGCCTACCAGCCGGCCGGGCGCATGGATCAGAAGCCGGAGGCAGTGCGGAGAGCCGTGGAGGCTTTGTTTGCACAGCACGATAGCGTGCGGTGGCACTCGGAGCAGAAGCTGCTGAAGCGCTCCAAGCGCAGCCTGCACTTTAATGACCCCAAGTACCCCGAGCAGTGGCATCTGGTGAGTCATCCCCAGCCAGACCTGCCCTGCTGCTTGGGACCTCCAGCCCTGTCCGACTTTCCCTCATCTCTCGTTTTCTTTTCGGTGTGCAGAACAACAGGCGGAGCCCGGGGAAGGACATCAATGTGACGGGCGTGTGGGAGCGCAACGTGACGGGCCATGGCGTGACAGTCGTGGTAGTGGACGACGGCGTGGAGCACACTATCAAAGACATACAGCCAAATTACGTGAGTACCCAGCTGCCCAGTCTAAGGCACGATGCCCCGGCAAGGCCTGAAATGAGACTTGGTTTTTGGGCAGAGCTTGGCAGGAGCCAGCCTTGGCCCCTTCACTTCTGTGCCCGAGGTGGAGGCTGCTTAACTCTCCAGCCCTCACGGTAAAAACCAAATGAGCGGAGGTCATGGGCCCAGTCATCATTAGGTGACGAAAGGAAACTGGCAAGGACGGAAAGGACGGTGCCTTGAAAACCCGGGCGGCGCTGGAAGCTCAGCAAGCTGGCTGGGACAAGAGGGAGGATGAGGAGGCATTGCTGGATGCCGAAGCATCTTTGAATTGGACCCCCCGACATGAAGAGGGGCCCAGCGCTGACTCTGGCTACACCTTTTCTGCAGGGATACATACGGGTGTTCGGGCACGAGGCCGCGTGGACCTTGCCTCTGAGTTCCTGAGGCTCTTAGTATTAAGTCCTGCTTTCCCCAGAGGAAGCCTCTAACCAGGGGTGGTGGGTGTGTTCTCAGAGCCCTGAAGGCAGCTATGACTTGAACTCCAATGACCCCGACCCCATGCCCCACCCAGATGAGGAGAACGGAAATCACCACGGGACACGCTGTGCCGGTGAAATTGCGGCCGTCCCCAACAACAGCATCTGCGCCGTGGGCGTGGCCTACGGCAGCCGCATTGCAGGTGATGTTATCTGAGGCCAGTGGCTTTTTGGTCCTCTCCTGTGCTCGCTGAGTATTTTTCCCTTATCTCGGGGTGAGGGGTGGGGCTTGGCTGGCCTCTGCTGGCATCACTCCTGTGTCGCTGCCATCCTGGAGGGCCTGGAAAAAGTCCAGCTGCCATGGTCTGAAAGCCACTGTGTCCCTGCTTCCCCATGGCACGAGAAACACCTCCCCTGGTGCCATGTGACACTGCCCAGGCCATGTGAGCTCTTGCCTGCCTCAAACTCCAGCCGTGCAGCCAAAAGCTTCCTCTTTGGTTGAAACATTCCTTAGATAACACGGCCCCTGGTGCAGAAACACGTGCAAAACAGTTTGTCCGCAGCATCAGTCCTGCACCACGTGCTCCTGGGGAAGCCAAGTGCTTTCCCATCCCCTGGACAGTCCTGGCACTGCCTCGCGCTTGGTCTCGAAGGCTCCTTGGCTTGTACATGGGCCTGGCTACATCAGGAAGCCAGTTCCAATTGCCTCTACCCTTTGGCTGCGGCGGCTGCAGAACCGTGGACTCCCTGCTCCACGCTGCACCCCCTTGAAGCCCAGCGCCTCGGCTCAGGGTGCAGGTGTCCCTGTGTCCAGCAGGTGGTGCTGTTCTCCTTAGAATAACCCCATCCCATTTCGCAACCCCGGGGACCCCCTTCAGTCCCACAAGATCCCAAAATGCTTTGCGGACTGTACACAAAGAGACCCCTTCGTTTGCTGCCTGCATGCAGCTGTGTCTGGGGAGGAATACCGCAGCTCTTTGACAGTGCATGGTGCCACAGTACAGAAGTCGGGCCCAGAAGACAAGGGGGTTGTGCCCAGCTGAAGCAGAGGAGGGGGTGGGAACAGCACTGTGTGAGCTGACTGGTGTCCGGGAGGCCTGAGCACACAGCCGTGTTCTTGCACAAAGCACCGGGGCTTTTTGAGTCCTATGGAGGCCACACGTGACATCTTTCATCTCACCTGAGTCCCCTGCCCCACTTCTCCATCCCACTACTGCCCCAGCCCACAAGCCAAGAGCAGGTCAGCAAAATAGTGCGCGGTGACCTAGCAGCTACCAGGAGCACCCCGTTTCCAGACCCACTCCTCCCTGCTTCCTCGTGCTGCGCTGGGGGGATATGACTCGTTAGTCTGGTCCCTCAGTTCGCCAGGCCAGGATGAGCCCATGTGGCTCGTACGTTAGTGCTGATCTGCAGACAGCAAACCCGGAGAGCCAGTTCAGTCTGGCTGAGGGGGAGCGTGCCCCAGCTGCAAACCTGAGGAGGCTTGTTCCTGCTAATTGTGACACTAATGGTCTTTTGCTGCACAGGCATCCGGGTGCTGGACGGGCCTCTCACCGACAGCATGGAGGCCATCGCGTTCAACAAGCACTATCAGATCAACGACATCTATAGCTGCAGGTGAGCCCTGGCCTCAGGCTGTGGGGGAGGCAGGGGCTGCCACAGCGTAGCAAGCTGGTTGGGAACAGCAGCGTGGCCTCTGCGCCCATGGGGCCAGCCAGAGCCTGCTGTGGGGAGCGCTGGCAACGCCTGGGCTGTGGTTTGTCTGCAGTTGCCAGGCTGCTGCCGCCTTCCCTCCAGACCCGCTCCCACCCGCCGCCTCTGTTTCCAATTAGCAGCTCAGCCGCGAGGCACCAAGATCAACAGCACCGCCCTTCGTGCACTCGCTCCTAACACCGAGCAGGCAGCATGGGGCCAGCTTGCTCTGCCCCAGATAGCTTCTGCTGGGCCTGAGGACAGCAGTAGTAGAGGGGCCACAGACAGGGAGACCCCAAGGGTGACAGGGAGAATTGGCAGGTCTCTGGTGCCCTTTGCAGAGGGGTCTTCAGACATTAATGAAAGTTCTGTACCTTCCTGTGGCAAGGATGGCTCAGGGTTGTTGCCCCTACCTCGAGGAGGGGGTTGGAGTGCAGAGGAGGGCCATGAGCTCTCAGGATCATACAGCAGAGCTGGGGGAAGGATCCAGCAGCCCTGGTCCCTGCTATGCTACTTCAAGCAGCAGTGGCCATGGTATGCATCCCAAGGGCAGTCTGTGGGCCGCGGTTTCGGGGCCTGCTCAGGGTTTCACACAGTGTGACGGGTTCATGTTGTTTTTCCACAGCTGGGGCCCTGACGACGATGGCAAGACTGTGGACGGCCCTCATCAGCTGGGAAAGGTAGAGTGGAACGGGGTCAGCCCCTCCCCACCCCCTCCCCGGTAGGGACAGGCTGGAGTGGGGCACATCAGCCTCCTGGGAACGTGCTCGCGAGTGGTGACGCCTCCCCCCACCCTCCTCCACAGGCCGCCTTGCAGCATGGGGTCATTGCTGGTCGCCGAGGCTTTGGGAGCATTTTTGTTGTGGCCAGTGGCAATGGGGGACAGCACAGTGACAACTGCAACTATGACGGCTATGCCAACTCCATCTACACCGTCACCATTGGTAACTGGACCTGCGGGCCTCTCGCGTACCTGGCTCCCTGGGCCTGGGGGCGGTGTCCTGAAGGGGCGGCTTTGCTCCCCAGCGTGACACCCCAGGGAGCTAAGGTCAGGGTCCCCCATACAGCCTGGATGGCCGTGGCTATGACTGCTCCACGGGCTCTGCAGAGGCGGGGGGCAGCACTTGAGCTGAGCAGCACTTGTTCTGAGCCAGATAACTGAGCAAGGCCCCTTCCGGTCCTGCTCCCTCCCCTGGCGGCACTGCTCAGCAAGGGTGGCCGGAAGCTTTGTTGCTCATCACACCTGCCTGGGGTCTGTGCCTTGCCCAGCAAGCTAAGCACACCTCCAGCAGGTGCCAGCACCTTAGAAGTCCTGTTCCACCGAGGGCCCCTGAGATGGCCTGGCTGGCAGTGCTGGACCGTGATACAGGGTGGTGGGTGGGTGGCTCTTGGCCCACATCAGGGGAAGTTCTGCACCGTGTATCAGAGGAGCTGCAGGGGTCGACAGTCTGTTGGGGAAAGCAGAGTGACACAGCAGAACTGCCAGCCAGGAAAGCACTCACCCAGGTCCGGCTCCATTCCCTTCCTTCCCTGGGTCCATCCTCATTATGCCCCTGTCTCTGATGAAGCTGTTGGGCTGGAAAGTGCTTGTAGCA